GGTGCAACCACCGTGTCCCTTGACATCAGGCTCCAGCAGCCTGGTGGCCATGCCACCTCTTCGTCTCAGCAGCCACCCTCCCTTGGGAGCGATGAGAAGCAGCTGAGTCCTCCAGAACCTCACACTCAGTGAGAGGAACTCTAGGACGGGAGGGTGCCATCCCCCATGTCTGTCACCAGCCACTTGCAGCCACTGGGTATGTAAACCGGGGCCAGCCCAACCTGAAATGTGCCCTAATGTGCCAACCATACAGCATACCTCAAAGGCCTCTTACCAAAAAAGTCATTAGTAATTTTATATTATTGTTGAATATGGTAATATGAAACATCTTCCGTTGAAGAGAATATTAAAATTAATGTCACTTATTATTTTTGTATTTTTTTGAGACAGGCTCTTGCTCTGTCCCCAGGCTGGAGTGCAGTGGATCCCGGCTCAAGCCATCCTCCTGCTGCAGCCTCCTGAGTAGCTGGGATGACAGGCATGCGCTACCACACCCGGCTAATTTTTGTATTTTTAGTAGAGATGGGGTTTCACCTTGTTGGCCAGGCTGGACTTAAACTCCTGACCTCAAGTCACCCACCTTGGCCTCCCAAAGGGCTGGCTGTCACTTGCTTTTCAGTTGTTAAATGTGCTCCTGAGAAGCTAAACTTCGCACAGGGCTGGTAGAGACCCGCCTTCCTGTGGGTGGGGAGGCCTCTTGAGTACCTGGAGCAGCTCTCAGTGAAAGGCGGGGAGACTGGCTGGTAGCGGAAGGCGGCCCCTCTCTATCTTTCTCCCTCTGCCGGGTGCAGATGTCTTTTCTGTTGCTGGGGGAAGGGAGGTGCTTCTTGGTTCTGCTTTGTCACTTCCTGGACACCACATGGCTGTGGACAGTACTTCTCAGGGTACGCACGGTGACGAAGGCAGAGTGTCCTTGTATTAGAGGCTTCTCCGCTCCAGGCTGTCCATGGCAGAAGTGGGGTTGGGCACCTGCTGCCCAGTTTCCTCCACAGCCTTGATGGGTGTGAGCCAGAAGTATGGGGCGTGCTCGGGGGCCTCTAAAGTTCGAACAGGGCTCTGTCCCTCTTCTGGGCTCCCAGAGGAAAAGCGCTCCTGTGTGCTCTGAGCAGGGGCAGCGCCACATTCCGTTTGCTTCCTGAGCTTGTGTAGGTGAACAGATTCCGGGTGAAGGTAGGAAACGAGGTGACGTGAGCGGGACAGCTGGCTTCCCACAGCAGTGTGGGCGAGGACCCCCATTTGTGTCCACACAGTCTGATGTGTGAGGAGGCAGCAATGTTTGCTTGGGTTAAAGGCTTGCCATTTGTAGAGAGTACTAATCAGCTGAAGCCTTCTTCTTCCATGACAGTTTAGGGGTAAGTTGTGTTCACAGCTGAAAATGGGCACCTTTGGGGCTGCACTGCCACCATCTTAACATTAGTCTTTAGAAATGAATGCCACAGCTTGATGTAACTGCAGCCCGATAGTAAATGCAAAGGCATGGAAGTGCTCTTTGCTGTGGAGGGCTGAATCCTCACAGGTGGACCTAAGCCCACACCTGTATTGCAGTCTGGGTGAGACCCGCCCCTCCCCCGTGAGCCTCTCAGGAGCCACCCCAAAGGGCTAGATGCCCGTAGTCTTCCTGCTGCCTGCCATGTCCCTTCTCCACACCCAGCCACAGCCTCCCACTTCTTTGTTCTGGGGCTTCCCACCCCGGCCTGGTCCTCCTTTCTCTGCCTGTGGGGCCCACCCATGAGCAGAAAACAGCCAGAGGGTGCCACGGTCACAGCACCCAACGAAGCAAGACCCCCCCCCCCAGCAGTGAATGCCCTTTCAAAGGTGCCACTGAGCTGTATTGTTGGAGGCGACCCCTGGCTCTGAGCGACTGGGCGTGTGGTCCAGAGCTGTGGTGCCCGGGCTCAGCCCTGGCTGAAGGCGCTGGACACCCAGGAGCCACCTGCACCTCGGGGCCAGCGAAGCGCAGAGAACCTGTTCTCCTCAGGTGCGGAGAGACCACTGTCTCCCCCAAGGCCACGGCCAGCCTTGGCCTCCCTTCTCTTGGATGGTGCTGAGGCCACACTATTGCAGCCAGCAAGGTTCCAGTTCTCCAGGAAAGTCACGCCGTGATCTGGATAGGAATTACACAGATGACGTGGCGGGTTTGCTCCCCTCCCACACTGGCGTCCACACCAACAGCACCAGTTTTGACCACGTGGAGCTGCTGGCGGAGGGCAAGCATGGTGGCTGTTGCCCTCTGGGTGTTTTGCTGGATTAATGTAGACTGCTTTGTTCGCAGGGCTCCTTGTCGTCCCCAGGCCAGGCCAGTTCTCCAGGTGGAACTGTAGTGTAGCCACCCCACTGCTGCGCGCAGAGCCTCAGGACTCGGACTCGAGGGAGTGACAAGGAGGAGCCCCACGCTGGGCCTGGGCCACGCTCGGGCGGCGGACCTCAGGCGGTGGATGTCAGCGAGGGCGTGTGGACGGCGACCGGCTCGCTCTGCGGCGCGCGTTCCCGCTGCTCACCCAAAGAAATTGTTTCCATTTTTAAATCAGTCTTTTGGGGCTGCAGTAAAAAATAAGAAATGGAGTTTTCTTGCTTTTTACTCTAATTCAATGTAATTGAATCTCATACATATATATATATATATATTATATACACATATATTCATAGTGTAAAATAAAATGTTTCTTGGACAAGAAATCCCCTGAAATTCAACTTTATAAATAGTGCTTCACTTTGTTTTTGCACTGATTTTTTTATACCTTAGGTGGTCAGAAGACAGCCTGGAATGCACTTAGAGAGAAAGTTGTTACTTTCTGACTTAGTGTAATTCAGGATGACATGCTGCAATCACAGATTTTTTTAAATTGTTTGCACTTAAACATAGTTGAATGCTGGTGGAAAGTTACTTTGCATCTGGGTGTAAAGGACTCGTGGCCCTTGGAGGTGCGGAGGGAAGACGCCCTTTTTACCTGTTGACGTTTATTTTAATACTATTGTTTCCAGTGCAATCAACTCTGTATTATATGTATAAATAATGTAATTCTGCAATTGGGGAAGATGGTTACTTCACTAGTAATTTTCACCATTTAAGAGTGATATTTCTAATTCACACACAAAAATTAAAACTATCTTGAATATACCACTTGTTTTATCTTCTGTTACTTTGGCTCAGTGTTTGCCGTAAACTTTGGTGGCAGGAATCGGTCAGTATGGAATGGTTTTGTCTTTTTCACCCGTTACTCGAAGCCCCTCGTCAGTCAGACGTGAGCCGGGCTGTTCGGGAACGTCTCAGGAGGCTTTGGCTCCTGGGCCCCCCTTGCAGCTGCACATGTGCACAAGGTTTCAGTGAGTGATTTTTCCTTACAGCTTAGAGTCCTTCTTTTGCCATTGAAGGCCTGTGACCACACATAACACAGTTTCTATGGTGAGTATGAACGTGGGACATGAAATAGCTAATGAAGCTATTTTCCTGAGATTTTTCTTACTTGGTTGAGCATCTGTGAGCTTAGGGCCTCCCACACCTGCCCAGCGAGTTACTAGCATCACAACAGAATGTGCAGCTACCAAGGACAAGAATGTTTCTTGGTTTATTTTATTTTAGAGACAGGCTTTCACCATATTCGCCAGGCTGATCTCGAACTCCTGACCTCAGGTGATCCACCTGCCTCAGCCTCCCTAAGTGCTGGGATTACAGGCCTGAGCCACCACGCCCGGCCTGTTTTATTTTTTTAAAGGCTAGTCAAGTGAAGCAGCAGGAGTGGAGAAAGAACAAAGAAATCTGTAACTGGTTGTGATCAATCAGTGTAAACCCCACTGTACTCGGACCAGCCTGCTTCTTGTTTTCAAAAAAATCATATACAACTGGATCCTTTGAAAGCTTTACTTTGTGAGACTTTAAACCATGAAGTGTCTGAAACCTATTTCTCTGAGTGATCACATGAAATTGGGGGCATGTCTTTAATTTCAGGCTTTCAAGGGAGCTATGCTGCATTTTCACCATTTGTATGAATGCAGCAACAGAAAACTCGGCCTCAGCTCAGCCCTGGGTTTAGTTTCCTTCAGAGGAGTTGAGTTGCAGCTTGAGCCCTCAGCCTGCCCCGCTCGGAGCTCCAGCAGGGCCTCTGGATCCTGGGGCCATGAACTACGGTGTGAGTCTTCTAGAAAGAGAAATAATACGAGATACTGAGACTTGCTGTTTTAAATGAAAGAATCAGAATGTGTAAATTAGACACATGCAGAGTGACCTCTGTATTAAAATATCAGCACGTTTTAGGTATTTTTGGTATTTCTGTCTTCTTAAAGTGCTGATCGCTAGGTGCTGTCAGTTACACAGGAAGCCAAACCCAGGGAGTCCAAAGCATCTACAGTGAACGGCGGGTGTATTTGGAAGTCAGAAGAGACTACCTTTGAAAATAAGCCTAGAATCATTTTAAGACAGAGTCTCACCTGTCATCCAGGCTGGAATGTCGTGGTGCGATCACAGCTCACTGTAGCCTCAACCTCCTGGGCTCTAGCAGTCCTTCCCCCTTGGCCTCCCAAGTAGCTGGGGTCACAGGTGAGTGCCAACACACCTGGATAATTCTTTGGCATTTTTTAGAGACAGGGTCTCCTTATATTGCCCAGGCTGGTCTTGAACTCCTGAGCTCAAGCGATCCTCCTGCTTCAGCCTCCCAAGGTGCTGGGATTACAAGTGTGAGCCACCACACCTGGCCAGGTCTAGAATTCTTAATCCAGTCATCTTATTCTGTTTCCTGTCTGCCTGTGGGAAGTGGCAGGTAGAAATCTAACACCGGGACAATGATTATGTAAAGATTTGAGCAGTCTGGTCAGATGACCCAGCATGTCTGAAGCTTTCGCTGGCCCCAAGATGGCATCACTCGTGCGGGTTAGTTTTAGCTCTGCCTCAGCCCTCTGTCACCCTTCACTGGGTTCCGGAACGCAGTTTGCATTGCTGTACTAATGCTGTCAGAAACGCCTGTTTACTATAGATGCATCTGTGCCAGGAATCAATCTTTATTTTCATGGTGCTGTCCTAAGATTGGTCCATAGCCAAATGGTCCGAGATGGCTTCCAAAGTCTAGCTGCCTCATAACTGTCCCCGCCACTGCCACCGTGGACCCAAGCATTCAGCAGGCCCTGGGCAGACACTGCAAGGCAGCGTCAAGGCTGGTCTTTCTCAGGCGCCCTGGAAAGACGAGCGTCCCTGGTAAGATTTGGGTTCGCTTTTCCCACTCGTTGCCTTGTGCTGTCTTACACTTCTGGCATTGGGGAACGTAGGCTCCGCGCGAGGATTCGGCCTAGAGGAAGCCAGGAAGAGATGGGCTGTGCCAGGGGTGGATCTAGCCGCCCCGTGGGCAGGCTAGCTGCACTGCAGGTGGCGGGGGCAGCACAGCAGGAGATGGGAGGTCACAGTCGCACTGCTGCCGCCTGTCACACGAAGGTGGGCACCATCTGAGTGCTGGACGGAGATGGCTGCTTACTTCTGCCCACACCACGAGCCCCCACCCCCACAGTGGGATGGGGGGGCTCCTCTTCAGGTCAGGAGGGTGAGGTAGGTGGACAAGGGTGGGCTCACATGAGAAGGGTGGCGATGCAGCCGGGCAGCACACAGGTGCCCAGCAGAGGATGGAGGGAAGGAAGTACTTGAATGGGGTGGAGGAGGACGGGTGAGGCCTCATGCTTGCTTCCGTTCTGGAGTTCTGTGGGGGTGATTCAAGCACTTCAGTCGCTTTGTACAGAAGGAAATAATCCGGCCGGCCCGGCTCTGCAAGCTTTCCAGTTTGGGGCAGCAGAGGCGCAGCCAGGGCCCTGGCAGCAGGGCAAAGTGGCCTCCTGTGGGCTCTGCTGGCCCCTCTGCCCTCAGCCCTGGCCTGCACCCGCCCATCTCAGGGCCCAGATGGGCATGGAACCACACGCAGCTGAAGCGGCCTGGGGACCCTGGCGCCTCCTGCTGAGAGCAGGCAGGTGTGACAGCCAAGTGTAAGGCAGGAAGTCCAAATCTGCAGGAAACCGCCACCCTTGGAATCTCCATCCTTGGACTTGGGAATCTTTGTGGGAGCCCTGCTGTGTGCCAAAAATCCCTGCCACTCCTCCGTGGAGAGGGCCTGTGGACCTGGCTCTGGTCCCCTGCCCAGCTCCAGCCTGGAGGCCCAGCTGCCAAAATCTAACTGCCTCCTAATTGTCCCCACAACTGTCGGGCTGGCGTGCCAGGCTCAACACAGCCTGAGTCCAACAAAACCAGGAGGGCTTCAAGTGGTGACACGCCAGGTCACCTGTGGGGACCCCAGCCCTGCTGCCCCCACCACGAGGTGACAGTCAGGACAGGGCAGCTGGAGTCCTGGGCACCAGCATCTGCAGACCACATTTGCTTTCTCAACAAGGCCTGCAGAGAACTGTAAAGACATTCCCTTCATACTTTATACACTTAAAGGGAATAATACGTTTCCCAAGTACACAAACAATCCTTAAACATGCCCAACCTTGAAGCCAGGCCTGGGGACTGGGCATGCCCCTTCCAGCCACCAGTCCCCTGCCCAAAGGTCCCGTTTCTAACCTGTGCCCCGCCGCCCCCACCTCCACAGCCTTCTGTCCCCCAGCCCTCCCTGCTGCTGTGGGTCTGCCTCCCCTGTGACTCTGAAGCCCTCTGCGGAGGGAGAACGGCCACACCCCACCACACCCCACTCAGACACCTCCCCTACACCAAGGGCAGCCCTGAACACTGCACGGGGGTCTCAAATGGGTGTAAAAGGAGCTCAGGAAGAGGCCTGCATTGAACCCTGCTCTGAATATTACAGTAAGCTCCACTTTCCAGCTTGAATCTGCCCTTCTTGGGCTCCTTTGCCCCCCTGTGGCCCAGACCGGGCAACTGTGCCCATGGACTCGCTGCCCCATGCTCCCGCCCTTTCCTCTCCCTCCAGACTGCCCTCCCTCCTGCAGTCCACTGTCACGTCAGGTGGCCTGGGGCTGAGCTGGGCCCACTGGAGAGCACCTGAAGGAAGGGCATCACGGATTTGTCTCAGCACGGAACAAGGAGAAGTAAACACTAATCTGGGAAATTTAGATTTTTTAAAAAATATATTGTTAAGTTTGGGAAGATGAGAAAAAAGAAGACAGACCCAATTACTAGGTTACTTTCCAAGATAAAAGGGCTTGCGAGGACTTTTCCCCTGCCCAGCAGCCCGGCCAGCGCTACAGCTTCTTTGCAATGCTCCCATCCCAGCCCCACAGGGAAACGGGTTTCTTTTAGTAGGACACAAGGTGCCCACCTTATCGTTGGCGCTCGGGAAATAGCTCAGGGAGACAGCTGGGCACCAGAAGCTAAAATGACCGTATGGCCACTTCGAAGCCCGTGCTCAGAAGAGATGCTTCAGGCCTGCCCTGTGCCCCTCGCTGCCTCGCCAGGCTGGTCACTGACAAGCAAAGAGGGTTCCGAGGACACGCCTGTGTGTGTTCCTGAATGGTTTTTCAAATGAAAATTAAGCCACTACAAACTCTTCCCAACAAAATCACCTTCCCTTGTGTGCCCGCAAAAGCTAAAATCAAGGGATGGCTGGGAAGGACACATGCTGGACTCAGAGAATATTAGAGTGAAATCGTGTAACGACAGCTCATGCTTTAATAAAAGTCAGGGTCTCCAGTAGCATCCCTGGTAAGACGTGACGTGCTCCGTGACTGAGCAGCAGGCTGTGATGTGCAGGGGACGGGCAGAGCGCACCTCCCAACCACGCCTCACCAGTACATCGCATACAGTCCTGCTCATTCGTTCTGATTCATATAAGAAGTTACAAAATATTCCCTGCCCCTAATTCTTAGTTATGAAAACGGAAGAAAACCCTAGAAAGTGGTGGTTTTACAAATATATTAGCTCAGAACATCCAGGGCAGCTGCGTGGGCCGTGGGCATGGGGGGCCAGGGCAGCACCCAGAGCCTGGCCAGTGGGAAGCCACCGCAGGCGCAACCCGAGCCCTCCATGGCATCTCGGGAGCAGATCGCGCAGGCCGGCCAGTGTGTTGCCTCCAGGAAATCGAGACAACCCCGCCGCTCAGTACCCTCCACCTTTCCGTGCTAGGGTGGGCAGGCGACACTGCTGCAGGCCAGGCTTAAGGTCCTTCCGTGGATCTGTCTGTCAAAGAAAAATTACAGACCAAAAATTGAGCGGCCGCCTGGGCTGGCGGGAGAGCAGCAGCGCAGAGAGGCTGTCCCGCTACCTTCTTGCTCGCGCCCATGAACTTCAAGGGTCTCAGCACCGGCACCTTCCCACTTGTTCCAGAGCCAAGCTCCGACTGCAGCGTGGGGCTGGAGTAAGATGACAGTTTGGTCACCCCCGAAAGCTTTAGTTTGGGCAGTTCCATGGCGTAGGCCGGGCCTTGTCTCTTGGGATGGTCCTCCTCTTGCTTCAATGACTGTTTCTTGAAACAGAACAAAGGCTAGTTGGACATAAAACGCTTTCCCCTTTACGGAAATTAGGAAAAACGCAAGAGGCTCTTTTGTACTGCTTTTGCCTAATACAATTTCTTGACTGTGAGATGTGACTGGGACCAGGTCCCAGACACCCCCAGGGAGTGGCTGCTCATTAGAGTCCCTCGCGGAGGCCAACGCCAACTGCGGAGCTGAGGAGCCAGTGCGGGTGGCAAAGCGCTCCCGGGCAGTGGCACCCACCCCTCCTCCTGCTCCAGGGCCTCACACCCTGATGAGCCTGCCGCCTGCTTCTGGGCAGCTTGTGAGCTAAGGACAGTCTCACTTTTTTTTTTGAGACATAGTCTTGCTCTGTAGCCCAAACTGGAGGGCAGTGGTGCAGTCTTGGCTCACTGTAGCCTCAGCTTCCTAGGCTCAGGGGATCCTCCTGCCTCAGCCTCCCAAGTAGCTGGGACTACAGGCGCACACCATTACGCCAGCTGATTTTTAAAACATAGATGCGGTGGCAGGGGAGTGGTCTCGCCTGTGTTGCCCAGGCTGGTCTCAAACTCCTGGCCTCAAACGACCCTCCCTTGGCCTCTCTAAGCACTTGGTTTACAGGTGTGAGCCACTGTACCCAGCCGGTTTTTATATTTTTTAATAATTCAAAAAAAAGTTTCATGGCATGTGAAAATTATGTGAAATTCAAATTTTGGTGTCCCCAGTTCTACTGGAGCGCAGCCCCCATGTGGTTCATGTGTTGCTTCCAGCTGCTTTCACACTGCAGCAAAGTGGGGAGTGTAACAAACACCCCAGGCCACGGGGCCTCAAATATTTCCTATCAAAGGATTTGCCCTTAGAGAAAAGCATGCGACCTCGGATGAGACTGAGGGTGGGGACTTGGGTGAATGCCAGCTGGGAGTGACATCAGGGTTTGAAGCAGATCCTCTGTCCAGGAGGGAGTGGAGGCAGGGCAGGGACAGTAGTGAGAAGGCCATCTGTGGTGACTTGGGCAAGGTGAGGAGGCAGGAGGCCAGAAGGCACAGCCCCTGTGGATGACGGAAGGGTCCACAGGGGGCCTGGGCAGTTGACATAGCTGCCTCCCTGGGGTAAGGCCATGGGAAGCTGCAGGGAGAAAGCATGTTTGGGGGAAGATCAGGAGATGGGGTTTCAGCAAGTTTGTGTTTTGGACATTCAAGCGGAGCCGTAATCGGTGGCCGGTGGGACACAGGAGCCTTGCTTTCTGGAGAGCAGCCTGCTGCAGCTCTGGGTTGCAAGGTCCTAAGCGGGCAGGGAGCACTGGGTAAAGACTGGGAGGAGCGAGAGAGGCAGGGAGGATGGGACAGATGAATGATGGAAGGGCACATGATCACAGTTGGGGTGCCACCCCAGCACTGGGAGACTGGGGCGACGCTACCAGCAGATGCCACAGGGCTGCACTGGGCTAGGATGCCACACGGTAGGTGGGAAGGTGATGGCACTGCGCAAGGAAGCTGGCATCTCTCAATCCAAAATGTGTACAACCTCCGCTGATGGGACAAAGTGCTCATCCGGGCCAGGCAGACAGCGTGGCCTGCCTAGGATGTGGGGCCTGTCACTGGCTAGTTGGGGACTTGGGCCAGTGCTGCATCTTCTTGGGGCCTCTCTCCAGGGCCACTGTGAGGGCACAGTGAGGTGATGTCTGCACAGTGCCTTGGCACAGAACCTGGCACCTGCATGTGGTCATCAGGCAGACACAAAAGCTCGTCAAGGGTCCCCTCTCCAGCCTGCTCACATGGGATTTTCGTCATCAATCCTGAGCTACTGGGGCAGAAAGGGCTTAAGCAAACACAACGGGGTTCCCTGCCGTTCCAACACACGGAGCCATCCACTCGCATGCTGTTCAGGCTTCGACTGACACCGTGGTCTGCCAAGGCCTCCACGGGCGGTGTCCTGTGAGAGACGCGGGCCACCCCAGGGTGTCCAGTCCCCGCTGAGCCAGGCGGTCTCCGGCTCCAATTTCGTTTAGTACCTGCTTTCTGCTCTCCTTTGAAATCTGCCAGCTGTTACTGAGTGGTTCTGGTGCCACAGGGTGCTCTGAAAAGCAAACTTTTCTGTGGCTGCCCAGAGCCCGCTTCTCTGTTTTCCTACGAGGAAGGAGAAGAGAATGGAGTGGCTCCACTGAGAACCGCGGAGCACACAACCTGTTTAGCTTCTTTGTCTCCAGTTTGTCTACTGTGTGAGTTGTCACTAGCTCTTCTTTTCCACATGAGCTGTAATCAGAAGGCTTTTTTTTCTTTTCTCTCTCAGCCTGACAGTCTCTGGGCCAGGAGCAGAGCTGTCCCCATGAACCACAGGCACTGCCTACCCAGGGACTCGCAGTTTGGGATAAACTGTCACCTCCACAGTTACACACACAAGAGTGTACGGAGATATGGAACCAGAGGATCTCAGGGCAGACACGTCTTAGATTTGCATCCAGCAGGCACTCTAGTGCCAGGAAACATCCAAAATGCTCTAACATCTCAGAAGGCGCTCACACCATTTACAAGGGCTGCACGCCAGGCTCTTCTAGAAGGCTTACCTGTAGCCTCAGCACCAACTGCAAGTGGCCAGCCAGCCCCGTCTCCCCCTGCCGTGGAGCTGACAACAGCCTCATTTGGGGAGGATACACGAGAACACAGGACGGTGGGGGCCCCAAGAGGCCCTGATCACTCTTCAGGATAGACAGCAGGATTCCCAAGAACCAGGAACCCTCCAGAGGGCAGTCCCTCGCCCAACCGTGTGCCCATGGGTCCCACCCGCCAGGTCCTGCCATCCTCCCCACAGAACCCAGGAGAGCACCTACCTCTGTTCTTGGAAGTAGGGGTGCTGCAGGGCCTGGTGGGCGGCGATTCTCTCATCGGGATCATAGGCCACCATTGCATGCAGGAGGGAGAGGCATTGTGGGGACAAATTGGTTGTCAGTAGAGGTATTCCTGATCCCTTTTTAAAAGGAAAATCAAAATTCATAGCTCTCGACCTGTATTAAAAGCCCAATGATAATAAACGGTCATGCTGTCACCGAGTGCACCGCGGCCCGCCGTCAGGACTGAGGGCCCTGTGCGGAGGGGAACTTATGGCTCAGAGTCTATGCCTGTCCCAGCCCACTGTATGTGCGCCACCAAGAGGGACCCCTGAGGTGAACGATGGGCTGTCCGTGGTTCATCGGCCATAACAAACACACCACTCGAGTGGGGTGCTGACGACAGGGAGGCTGTGCGCGCATGAGGACAGGCCTGTATGTGAAGCTAAAGCTGCTCTTAAACGTCTATTAAAGTAGCCTGTTATAAAAAGGGGATCTGTTATGCTATAAATGTCAGAAAACTACCTTTCCTGTAAAAGACTAATACCACCTTCCTGCATGAGAAGAATGAAATAAAGTTTAATGAAAAAAGAAGAGTCCAAAATTGTTACCATCTCCTCCCTCCCTGAGATCACTTGCCCCCTCAGCCCACAGGCCCTTTCTGGGAAGTCCCGACTCCCCAGCTCAACTCCATCAGAATGACTCCTACGAGTCCAGGAACACCTCTTCCAGGGCCGTCCCGCCAGCAGCACCACGGAGGGCTGCAGAAAGCCCTTACCCACTGTGCCCCTGCGGTCTATGCATTTCCACCCAAAGGCTTCTAAGTTCTGCTTAAACCATTCAGGGAACAGAGCATAACTCCCTGCCCCTCAGAAGGCTGGTGACAAATCTCTGTGATGCTCAAGGAACAGCTCACCTTTGAGACCCCCCGAGTAATGGGCTCTGTCTGAGCAGCCACTCACTGGCCATGGAGCGGCTTGCCCTGACGCAGGTCCTGGCAGGGGAGTGAGTCCACGTACACTCAGAGCACAACACTCACTGTTTGAACTTGGTGAGGGTCTTCTGAGCAGGTGTGCCGATGACATCGTGGATTTTTGAGATTTGGTCCAATTCATTTGCTCCAGGGAAGAGGGGCTGCAGACTGGAAGGGCATGACAAGGGGCACCGAGGTCATTACATGGCCATGGCCTCTCCATTCTGCCTGGTTCCTCCCCCACCCCACCTGCCACCCACAGACAGGCTCACTCACACAAAACACGAGGAACTGCGCCTAGCTGCTCATGCAGACCCTCACCGCAGGGAGGCGCCACTCTCCCTTGTGCTCCTTCTTTGTTTCCACTTTACCAACAGGTCCGACATGCTTTTTTTTTTTTTTTTTTTTAAAGACAGTCTCACTCTGTCCTCCAGGCTGGAGTGCAGTGGTGTTATCTCGGCTCACTGCAACCTCCGCCTCCCGGGTTCAAGTGATTCCCCTGCCTCAGCCTCCTGAGTATCTGGGACTACAGGTGTGTGGCACCATACCCAGCTAATTTTTTTCTTTTGTATTTTTAGTAGAGATGGGGTTTCACCATGTTGGTCAGGCTGGTCTCGAACTGCTGACCTTGTGATCCTCCCTCAGCCTCCCAAAGTGCTGGGACTATAGGCGTGAGCCACCGTGCCCGGCCCTGACATGTGTTTTCTAAGAGGCAAAAGACAGCCACATTCCAACATCTGTCCAGCGCACTGTCTGCAGTGAAATATGACTAATTCACACTACCCATGATAAATAACCCCACAGTGAGCCTCCCATCAGCCAAGGGGAGTTTTGCTGACAAATTCAGGGTGAGGCAGGTCAGGTTTTGTCACCAGATGAGTCCCAAGAAACCTTTTGGTTTCCAGAGCTTTTATGGTTTTGGAATTGTGGGGAAAAGACTTTAAACCCGTATAAATAAATTCAATTCCTATTACATGCCACAAAGAAGGTTTGAAAATACCCTCTGGTGGTAGGCCTAGCTTCTATTCCAGAAAACAGCAGGATCTTGTGACTAAAGCAGAGAGGAGGAAACGCGGGTGAGCTGGAAACAGCTCCTCGTGGGGAGGTCAGCCCGGTCCAGCTCGGCAGCTGGTGCGCTGGGCTGCCCTGTGTGCCGGTGCTCCTGACGCCTGCCCCTCCAGATGAACTCACAGGACCTGGGCTCATGAGAAGGGATTCTCAGTTGACACTCTGGCTTCAGTGAAATTGCCAGTCGGCTTTCCAAAATGAAAAGTTATCAGTAGGAACCGTCCGGATCAAAGGAGAGTGTGTCCTCAAGCGCGCATCTCTCCGTATTTCTGTAGTGGCCGAGCAGGTGGGACAGACTGTGATCCCTCAGATGTGCCGCCGGACCGTAACCTCACTGCCGCCTGCTAGAGGCCACCTCCACCCCCGTGCGCTTCTTCAACTCAACACCATTCACCTCTAAGTGGGACCCGCCCCCTGTCGCCTCATCCCAGGACCACTGCTCCTTCCCAAAGGCTGAGGGGAGTGAGGGGTTTGGAGGCTGGAGCAAGGAGGGCTGGGATTAGGGCTTTCTAGAGTTCAACTGTACCAGATGGTATGTCATCCTCACACCAGTGGCCACGGCACCCTACCTGATATAACTGCACCTCTCAGGGGAGGCCCGAGTCACCCCTCCCCATGGCAGCCCCAGGAGGGGCAGTGGGCATGCTTCCTCTGCTCCAGGGCAGCAGCCCCGTCAAGCCCCTCACGGCAAGCCCAAGGAGGCAGCTCCAACACCGCTGGGGTGTGTGTGAAGGAGAACAACTGAGGGTTGGTGCTCCACTCTGGGAAGGGTAGGCCAGGACGAATATTCGACAAAAGTAAAATGAAAGCCTAGTCTACTTGCTGTTAAATTAAAAACAATTAAACAAAAACAAAACCAGAATGACCATGACACCTGGACTGCAGGGGAAGGAGCGCGAGCCTGGCTGTTCCACCCTCCCGCCGCAGGAGCCAGGCTGGCACTACCTGGCGATCTCGTAGAACACGCAGCCGGCGCTCCACAGGTCCATCTTGTATGTGTAGAACCCGTCAGTGAGGAGGCACTCCGGGGCCCGGTACCAGCGGGTGGAGATGTATTCCGTGTACGGCTGCTTGGAATAGACACTCCGGCAGGAGCCAAAGTCCCCTAATTTCAGGACATCCTGCTGCAGGGGGAGAGAAGCAGGACAAGTAACATCTCATTATGTGGCTATCGTAATACAAACCACTCCAAATGTTTATGCACCAGAGGGAAAATTACTAGCATCTAGTCTGTAAAATACAAATTGCCGGTGTTATGAGCACCTGAAAGTGCCTCTGGCAGATAAGGAAGTGATGTTTCTATTCAGTGGAACAGGTTTACAAATATTCTGGCTATGTTTTACACATATTTCCAAATGTCTACAGGTTTTGAAAATGGTTAGATCGTGGCGCTTCTACAAATGAATGACACTAGTCGTCTGTCCGGTCATGCCGCCAGCCGGCCCGGCAGGGCTCTTTAGCCACAAAGCCTCAGAGGAGCCTGCTGACAGCCAGTGACAGGCTCCGGGAACAGCAAATTGTACGGCTTAGCCACAGGGGGTTTAGTGGCTTTCGAGTGAGACTGCTTTCGAGTGAGACGAACCTGCGCTCCAATCCTGCCTCTGCCACATTTACCTCCAGGGGTTTCGAATGGCCATCTGAATGGGGCTCATTGTGGTCTGCAGTGTTTCAAGGGTACTTCCTGTTATTTTCTTCCAGGTGCACAGTCAGTTATGTTGCTGGCATTTATTAAATAAAACATTTTTTACAACCTGAGAGGCAAAAAATACCGTAACAAACAAGCTGTCTAGCTACATGGACTGAAAGCTCCTCTGGTGGGGGGAGTTTTCTATTCAACCTTTCTTCTGATACTCAGCTTTCATGTAAAGGCTCTTACCTTTATGAGGATATTCTCTGGTTTCACATCTCTGTGAAATATTCCATTTCTGCATTCAGTATAAAAGGAAAAATAGAATTAATTACACTTCATTGATTCAGATTCTTGAACTTGAATGCTAACACATTTTATTAATTTCAGGCTGTCAAATCTCTTAAGAGCATACCTGTGAATATGATCAAGGGATTTACATAACTGGTACATATAGTGCATAATTTTTTTTTCTGATAATGGGTATCTTCTCCCTGTACAATCAAGAAAATAGGCAAATATGGTTACTGACGGTACATATCCTCTTTTTTGAAATAAAAATAATCCATTTTTATTTAATAATGTGTGAAAATCTAACTTCCCCTGTGAAAAATAATCTGAAGTAGTCTTAGGAAATATGTGGTGTACCTAAAACATACCATTTAAATTTCCATATATTGGCCGGGCATAGTGGCTCACACCTATAATCCCAGCACTTTGGGAGGCTGAGGTGGGTGAATCACTTGAGGTCAGGAGTTCGAGACCAGCCTGGCCAACAGGGCAAAACCCCATCTTTACTAAAAATACAAAAATCAGCTGGGTGTGGTGGCAGGCACCTGTAATCCCAGCTACTCAGGAGTCTGAGGCTAGAAAACTGCTTGAACCCGGGAGGCGGAGGTTGGAGTGAGCTGAGATTGCGCCAATGCACTCTAGCCTGGGCAACAGGAATGAAACTCTGTCTCAAAAAAAAAAAAAAAATTCTGTATACTGGCATGCTCTCATTTAAAATTATACAGCACATATATTTTTAATGGAAAATTGCTTTTTTATTTTTCTTTTTGACAGTTTATAGAGGTTTCTTTCACATCCTCAACTAGGTATTAGGAACACCATGTAATTTTTTTTTTTTTTTTTTTGAGAAGGAGTTTCACTCTTGTTACCCAGGCTGGAGTGCAATGGCGCGATCTCGGCTCACCGCAACCTCTGCCTCCTGGGTTCAGGCAATTCTCCTGCCTCAACCTCCTCAGTAGCTGGGATTACAGGCACGCGCCACCATGCCCAGCCAATGTTTTTTTTGCATTTTTAGTAGAGACGGGGTTTCACCATGTTGACCAGGATGGTCTCGATCTCTTGACCTCGTGATCCACCCGCCTCGGCCTCCCAAAGTGCTGGGATTACAGGCTTGAGCCACCGCGCCCGGCCACACCATGTAATTTTTAAGACTGTTGTCAAATTTGGGGAAACTTCTGCTAAGTTTCTTTCATATCTGAGCTATAAGATTTCATATTTCAAGTTTTCTATGGAGTGAATGCTCTTTAATCTTTGAACTAACCACATTCAGAGTATTCCTAGAAGACATCCCAAAATGAGATGGCCAGCAATAATGTAACTATTAATACATGGAAGAGACGCAAAGCACATAAACATATCCCAGCCACCCCCTAACGAGATTCCAGACACATCCAAGGCGTTCCATGGTTACTCTCAAAGAGGGGAAGTATGACGTGGGAGAGGTTGAAATATCTTATTTTTGCAAATTTATCAAAATATAAAAAGATGGTGAAGACACCGAAAGGGCCTGTTTTGGAAGGCACCGGGCAAGCCAGCCTTGTGAGCTGCACAGTGACTCCACCTCTGCTCCAGCACACATGGTTTTTCTGAGTTTTGAAACGAGTAAAGCAGGTTTGGGAAACTGCCAATTAAAAAATGAAGAAACAATCAATAGACGTTATTAAAGAATGACAGAATTGAATTTTTTTTTATTTTTAATGGACACGTAGTAATTGTACCTATTCATGGGATCCAGAGTGTTATTTTGATCCGTACATACAATGTGTAAGGATGAAATCAGCGCAATTAGCACGTGCATCACCTCCAACACTGGCCACCGCTCTGTAACATTCAGAGCGTGTGTGCTGTGGTTTCAGTGGGAATAGCACTGAGCGATGGTCACCAGAGTAGCATGGTATGACAGCCTCGGCCAGCCTACGCTGACGATGAAAATGTCCGGAGTCACTCCTAAACCCAGTGTTCCGCTAGGCTTTCCTGTATATGTGGAGATTTCCACTTTAAAGGGGGACAGATCACACTTCAAGAAGTTCATTCAGCTGCTTTCAGTTCCCAGTCCACAGGAGGGGCCATTTAGCGCATCTGGTGCAGTGCCCTGCGGCCGCCCTGCACTCACTGCCCGAACTGGCTGTGCCTTGGTGCCTTGGCTTTCTACTATGTTTGAAGACTCTTCATACCACACACCCGGCATCACAGTTTACCCTTGTTCCAGAAGATGTCAACTTTACTTGATTTGAATTTTCAAAGTGCGTGTTTTAAGTCATTAAGTTTGAAATCTGCACAACGACATGTTCACTTAACAGTTTGGAAATCCACTTTCTCTCTCCATCAGCACATATGGCATTTGACCCTTTTGGTCCTAAGTTTGCAATTTATTTTGAAAACTAAAATTATTCTTTTTCTCTACTTAACTGTTTATAATATATAAATAGAAAGTAATTTAAATTGTAAAATGTCTAGGTGCAATGAACTTTTTCTTTCTTTTTTTTGGAGGAGTTTCACTCTTGTTGCCCTGGCTGGAGTACAATAGCGTGATCTCAGCTCACTGTAACCTCCACCTCCTGGGTTCAAGAGGTTCTCCCACCTCAGCCTCCCGAGTAGCTGGGATTACAGGCACCCACCACCACACCTGGCTAATTTTTATATTTTTGGTAGAGACAGGGTTTCACCATGTTGGCCAGGCTGGTCTTGAACTTCTGACCTCATGATCTGCCTGCCTCAGCCTCCCAAAGTGCTGGGATTACAGGCGTGAGCCACTGTGCCCGGCTGCAATTAACTTTTTCATGTACTATTATCATCTTTTTATTGTTTCACATAATTTATCATCAATTTTCCAGAATTAAAATCAAAAGAATCAAAAGTAAGGCCTTTATCAGCTTTCTCAAGCTTGAGGAATTCTGGAATCTTATTCAATTAATATCTATATACAGCTGAAAAGAAGGCAACTTTGCATTCCCCTTCACACATGCAGCAGGATGAGCTGCTGGAAGTTTGTCTCATCAGGTGCTCCTGGGTCTTGCCATCAGACCCAGTCTCACTGACCCCTGACTTAGCCTGGCACTCAAGACACCCTTCAACCAATTCCTCTCCACCACAAGGGTTCTTGGACTCCTGTGAGTGGGTTGCTAAGACACAGACTGCCCCTCCTCGTTTTCAACCACCACATTTCTGCTTCAGGACGTCTGCAGTGGGGCCCCATAAGTGGCCTAAGAGCCCAGATGCAGCTACTAGTCCCGGGTCCTCGCTTCGAGAACCATGCGCCACCTCAGCCTTCTTGCTTATTGAATGCTGAGAGGAAGTCACATGTGCACTCTTCTCTGGATGCTCCCAAAGCTCTCCTGTTTAGTACTTACCCTCCTGATGTTCCATCCTAGGAATGCCCTTCCCAGCAATGTCAACACATTCAAATCTGACTCACATCATAAAACTGTCATTAGCGTCATCTGAACTTGGGAAACATGGAATCTTTTAGGAAAAGTCTATCCAATCTTCATAATCACCTAGGAGTCTTTTAAAAAGCAGATTTCGGCCAGGTGTGGTGGCTCATGCCTGTAATCCCAGCATTTTGGGTGGCCAAGGCAGGTGGATCACGAGGTCAGGAGTTCAAGACCAGCATGGCCAAGATGGTGAAACCCCATCTCTACTAAAACTATAAAAATCAGCCAGGTGTGGTGGCAGGCACCTGTAATCCCAGCTACTCGGGAAGCTGAGGCAGGAGAATCGCCTGAACCTGGGCGGCAGAGGTTGCAGTGAGCCGAGATCACACCACTGCACTCCAGCCTGGGAAACAGAGTGAGACTCCATCTCAGAAAAAAAAAAAAAAAAAACAGCAAGGCCTGAACCTAGACCTAATGGAGCCACAAACGGGAATGGTGGCCAGGAATCTGTGCTTCTCGGATGCCTTCAGTCCCAGGTGAGAGTCCTCCTCAGGTGCCCGGCCTTCCTGGCTTTCTCAGGTCTCCTCCTGGAAAATCCCTATTCACAGCCTAGGGGTAAGGAGGGGTTACTGCTAGAGTGGGGTGTCAGGGCAATAATGTGGGCTCAGTGGTCTGAACAGCTGGAGACCGCACCCTTGCAAAGGAAGGCACTGCCTACCCACTCTCCAAAAGCTTCTCCAGAACTTTCCAGGTCCAAGACTGTATCTGGTTCCCATCAGATTTTTGTTTTCAAACAGTAAGTAAACTAGAGTACAATTAACAAGCCACTCAGAAGTTTCTCATGTGCCCCTTAGTGAATGCCAATGACCTCAGCATTTACCTCATCGGCTGTAGCTATCCTGACCAAGGTAATTTTTACAAGTTATTTTTTACCAAATAGTCTCGTTAAGATGACTCTAAGGAATGTCATATTTAATAGTAGCAATTTTTAAAAAATAAGTGAACACAGTGATAAACCATGGCATTCCCTGAACTCAGCACTAACTAAAGGAATACAGCTGCCAACGTGGCCTGCATCATGACGGCATCCCAGCACCACCCCTCCCAGCGAGGGTGGAGAGAACCACGACTAGCCACTCACTAAGGCAGATGAATTTTGTGTGTGTGTCCAGGTCTCATTCTGTTGCCCAGGCTGAAGTGCAGTGGTGCAATCATAGCTCACTGCAGCCTCCAGCCATCCTCCCACCTCAGCCTCCTGAGTAGCTGGATCTACAGGTGTATGCCACCACACCTGGCTATTTAAAAGAAAACTTTTTTTGTACAGACAGGGTCTCACTATGTTGCCCAGGCTAGTCTCGAACTCCTGTGCTCAAGTAATCCTCCCGCCTTGGACTCCCAAAGAGTTGGGACTACACGCATGAGCCACTGCACCTGGCCCTATGAATTTAACTGGAATAGTTAAAAAAGAGAGCAGAATCAGATACAGCTGTGTAAAAGAGTAGCTGCCTCTGTAGTCAGATTATGAGGGATACTTAACCTTTTACAGTTTTTCTTCATAAATTCCAAGCCAGGCTTTCCTACTGCAGACGGCATGAGCCCAGAGCCGTAAGCGCAGACATCCAAATACACAAACTAGGATTGCTGATGACGTAGCCATTCTCTATTCACCCCAATTACTAACTCACACCAAAGAATGCAGGGACAATCTTCCAAAGTGAGTGGTGGACACAACGCCTTCACCGTCCCTTCCCCAGGCTCCCACACCACTCTTGCCTCCGTGGCACACCCACAGACTGGCTTACTCAGGACACATCCCAACCCCCTCATCTAGCACGGCAGGCCTGGAAGTCCAAACAACGTTCTTCAGGCTGCCTTGCAGCTGGGGGTTCCAGATGTGACTTGGGCTCTGCCTAAATGGGACCACTTGGGAAAGACGCTTCAGGCCCAGGCATAGGGGCAGATGAGAGAGGGAAGGCATCCATTCTGAGGGCACAGGTCACGGCTGCCTCCTCCCCCTGGCAGAGGCGGCCCTATTCCAGGCCTGGTGACTGCAGCACCTTTATTCCGCAGTGTTGTCAGCGGCAGGGGCAGCAGCTCGATCATGGGCAGCAGCTGTGAGAAGCGACTTCCAAGAAGCCAAGCCCAGAGTCAGCTTCTTCAGTCCTCCCAACAACTCTGGCAACCTGTCTGCATCACAGTCATCCCTCTGGAGTTCATCAGAGAACAGGGAATGCTGTTGTTTCCAGCTGAAAGGGAGAATCAACACACCCACTCCCAGCACATTTAGTCTTTAAATAGCAACTGGAGAATTCCTCCTAAAAAGGCACTACTCAAAGCACTGTCCATAAACTGATGCCGGTTTCGGGGACTGGTTGTTACAGAATAACTGCTTAGAACCGTTTATAGCAATTTTGCGAGGTCTAAGCACCTGTTCCCTTTTCTGGTCATTCATTTTTACTGTATTTTATAAAAATTCTGGTCTGCAACAGATTAGAAATAAAACAACTGGTCTTCTGCGACAGTTTTAGAAACACTGGTCTAAACATCAATTGAAAACGACCTCTCCCCTGCCTTAAAACCTGATAATGTCTTCCCACTGAACTTGGAATAACGAAAATTCTTACCCTCGCCCTACCAGCCTCATTGGTGGCTGCCTACTCCATTTCCTACAACGCTCCTCCATGTCCTCCAGCCACACGGGTCTCTTCCCTCACAGTGGCCTCAGGGCCTTTGCACTGGCTATCCCTTTGCCTGAAGTACTCAAACCTTACCACTCTCTAACACACTGGCCTGTTTTAGTCGCTGATAGCCTTATCCCTCTCTGGAATTCTTGATCATGTTAACATATATTCTTGATAATTTCTTCACTTGTTTCCTCTCTCTCCTCGAGTGTGAGCTCCACATGGGTGGGAACTGTGTCTGTTGTGTTCCCCGTGTCCCTGCCTCTGGAATAGCCCATGGCATGTCACCGCAAATGAGACATCCTCTCCTGCACCTGTCTAATTCTACCACTCCTCCAGGAAAGCCTTACTTTCCTAGCCCGCACCATCTCTGCCTCATCTGACACCTGGTCAACAAAGAGAAAATTACCCCAGCAATTCCTTTTCTCTTATATCACTTTCATATACTTTATGTGGACGCTAGGCTATATACTCTTTCAATATCAAGAACACGCCTCTGACAGGCTGCTTCTCTGTCTTCCTAGTTCTTGCCAGACCGTGCACACTGCCATAAAGACAAGTACACAACTCAATAATGGCTGTGTGATCGTTCCCTTATTTCATTATTACCTCATTCTTTAGTCTTTAATAGTGCTCCTCAATATTCTAATAACCTAAGAGTGGCTTGGCCAGGCGCGGTGGCTCAAGCCTGTAATCCCAGCACTTTGGGAGGCCGAGGCGGGTGGATCACGAGGTCAAGAGATAGAGACCATCCTGGTCAACATGGTGAAACCCCGTCTCTACTAAAAATGCAAAAAATTAGCTGGGCATGGTGGCGCGTGCCTGTAATCCCAGCTACTCAGGAGGCTGAGGCAGGAGAATTGCCTGAACCCAGGAGGCGGAGGTTGCGGTGAGCCGAGATCGTGCCATTGCACTCCAGCCTGGGTAACATGAGTGAAACTCCGTCTCAAAAAAAAAAAAAAAAAAAAGAGTGGCAATTTGTGTCATAGGAATGGTCATTCTGGTAGCGAAAGCCTTAATGATTGATTCAGTTTTCACTAAATCACTATCATCGTCAACAGCGGGTGCTCAGTGCCTTACATGAATAGAGGCACCTAATTACTGTTGATATGTGAAGCCAAGGCGGGTGGATCACCTGAGGTCTCGAGTTTGAGACCAGCCTAGCCAACACACAGCAACTTGCTGAAAATTGCCCCGTCTTGTTGCGTTATTCATTTATGTATTTATTTTTTCTTGAGACAGAGTCTCGCTTCAATGGATAATCTGGAGTGCAATGGCGCAATCTTGGCTCACTGCAACCTCTGCCTCCCAGGTTCAAGCGATTCTCCTGCCTCAGCCTCCCAAGTAGATGGGACTACAGGCACATGCCACCATGCCCAGCTTTTTC